ACATACATACATACATACATACATACATACATACATACATACATACATACATACATACATACATACATACATACATACATACATACATACATACATATTCCCACAACATACAAAACAGGGTAGCAAAGGGCTCATGCGTGACACATGATGAGGCAAAAAAATTGGTGTGTGACATGTGAAAAGCAACTAAAAGACATATGGGGTCTGTGAATTTGACAGAAAACCACCATCAATAAAAGTAGCTAGAAGTATATATTATGTAATACGTGTATGTGTGTATGCGAAATGAGATCACAGCTCCCCCTTTGCTACTCTCACAGAAGACAGTTGGAAACAGAAATTTACCTCGAATGGCTCAAACATATTCCTTAGACAAAAGAGTATGCCACTGTTATAACATGTAACCTGGTACAAACCTTTTGACTGTAAGTGCCACTAACACAGTGTTTAGGTGCCTGAGCAGGATCAGTACAAGCCTGTCCAGCTTCACATTCTGTACAAGAGGCATTTCCTTGAAGGGAGTAAAACCCAGATGGACATGGAACAGGAGGTTGGGTGACATTTCCACAACTGTAGCCTGCTGGACAAGGAGCACATCGTGGGATCTGTGATGAGGGATAGACAATAATGGAGGCTATAGCATTACTTTGTTTACATATTAATTACAGCATGTCACGTTAAATGGTTGTCCACCAGAAACTTGCTGCAATTGGTGGGACACTCCTCTTCAGCCCTTCAATGCTGATGACAACCTTTCCTAACAAAGTATTTTACATAACAGGGAGGAGATACATCCATGAATCTAATATATAAATTTAGGCCAGCCTAAAGGCGTAGCTACTGGGCCGGNGTCTTGGGGTTTTTGCCTTTAGAGTTTTGGTCAGTTTTTCTAGATCTATTCAGCTTTTTTGAAAATTACAATTAAAAACATGTTTTTCGGTTTACTGGTATATCTGTTGCAGTTTTCATTATTCTCTTTCTTGTGTCTAGTGCTTTCGTACTAGACACAATGTAAAAGCGATAAAAAAGATAGCAAACTACTTCATATACAGCAAAATATGATGTCATGCTCTAACAGTTTCAAATTTCCAACAACATTTCTTCAGGATGGTAAATTGTTCGTTTAGATCTTTGTTCTTCTGATTGTGGTCACCATGCAGATGTTTTCTAATAGCTGCATGTAAACTATCAATTCCCAGTATCCACCCTGCACTAGACACATGTTTACATGGCAGACCTATTTTTAGCGCTTGGTTTTCAGTTTTTCTCACAAAAAAAGTTTTTTGGTTTTGGTTGTTTGCTTGTCTAGTTTCTAGAACTCTTTACTTCACTTCAGTCAATCTGTGTAAGTTCATGTGGTGTAACATGCCTCTCAATGATGCACAGCAAAGCATGAAAGTTGTCTTCAACTTCTGGTTTGGGGCTGTCATGTTTGGGAATTTGACAGTTTGGAGCAATTTTATGGCAGTGTGACGGTTTTCCAACTTCTAGTAGGCTCCAATGCCCCAGCGAAGTGTTCCAGCCAACTGTAGACTGCAATCAAAACCACTTTGGGCTGTAAAGGTTAATTTCTAATTATTTCACAAATCTCACCACTTCATTGAACTTTTGGGTTTAATTTTCTTTTCTGGAGGGTCTAATCAAACTCTTCAGTTCCCACGTTTTGAGAATAACCTAGCTCATGGACCTAAATATCTTTGTCTAATAATGTAGATAATAATCCTACCTCTCCACCATTGTTCCAATATTCTGAAGAGGAACATGCTTGTGGCAATTGACTGGGATCATCACATGAGTGCCCTGCTGGACAAGGTGAACAAAATGATGCTGCAGTACCAGAATGTGTCCCTAAAGGACATGCATGGCAAATACCAACTCCAGCAGGACTGTATGTTCCTGGGGAACACTCTGTCGGTGGTATTGGAATGGAGCCATTCATGCACGAGCGACCTGCAGGGCACACTTGACAGGCTGATGCACCACCAAGACTGTACCTTCCATCTGGACATTTCTGTTGGAAGAAAGCATCAAATGTCATTTTGACAAAGAGAATTATAGGGCCCTGTCCGCACTATGCCAGAGGAATTTGAAAATTGAGGTTTCACTCTTAAAACACACCAAATGTTTTCTGTCCACATTATGCCCAAGGAAATGTTATTGAAAACACAACAATTACTGGTTTGGTAAGGCTCAGTCAGGGAAATCACATGGATTGAGTTTTGTGATGCCATCAGTTTCAAAAACCTCCAGGGTACCTACCACAATGAGACCCAGTGGGAACATAGGAATACTTTGTTCAGTTAAGGGGTCATCTCTTGTTAGGGAGTCATTGAGCAATACTCTGGCAGCACAACACAAAGATAAGATTTCAGGTGCTCCCTTCTCAGTCCTAGGAAGTTTTCTGGTACATATAATCCTTTTAATAAATAGACATGGGTGTTTCACTAGAAGATACACTACTCGGAAAATTCATCCAGGACCTGAGTGATGCCATTTCCCACTTTTTCAAGAATGTTTGCACAAACATTTTTGTCTAAATAAATACATATTTAATAAAAAGAAAGTTGCAGAGTGGCTTGAGGATATGGATTTTATTTTCACTCACTTTCTGCAATCCTTCATAAAATGTTATTTTTACCACTTGCAAATAAAAAAAAAACATATCTTCACTCCACCATGTAACATCCTGTACATAACATTTGGTATACATACGGCACATGATGATTGTCCTGATATACTGTACTGTCCTGCAGGACAAGCGACAGGTGTGTTGGATGGATTTAAACATGAATGTCCTGCATCACAGGCCTTGCAGGTGACTGCCCCAGTTTCATTAGAATAAGTGCCAGCAGGGCAGGGCTGCGGAGCATTTGCAGGAGACGGACAGTAGTGACCAAGGTCACATGGTATACAGTGAGATCCATTACTGTATGTCCCGACCTGAGAAAACAAAAATTCAGGGTTACAATCAATGACAAGGACATGAGTCAAGGAATCATTTTGAAAGTATTTTTATAATATATTACAATATATTGGGAACATCAGGCAGCAACTCTACTCTATCCAAGAAAAACAAAAACAAAACAGTTGAAGAAAGGTTACAACACATCACCAAATCCTGTAAGTCAAAAGTCGAACTCAAGTTAGGCAATTAAGCTCTTAAACCAAACTACACTCACCTCACATGCCTCGGGCGGAAGGGCAGGATCCTTACAGATCTTTCCAGCTGCGCAAGTCAAACACTCAGTTGAAGCCACTGGAGAGTACTAAAACAAAAACAATCGACATCCTAATCAATCAATCAATCAATCAATTAATTAACAATTAACCTTAATTCAATAAGAGTGACACTTAAAAAGTTATAAATTTAAATAAACTTATTAACAAACTTGTGGTCTGCCAGTGATACAAGAGCTATGAAAATTGGCAAAGCAAAGAAACAGCAGTATGCCCAATTGCAAGCAAGGTTTAACACGGTGATTTACCTGGCCAAATACACACTGCTCTGGTGGCCTATCCCTGAGAGGGCACCGGCTTCCAGGAGGACATGCCTGGCAGGAAGACTGCCCAGGGATTTCTGAATAGTATCCTGGTGCACACTGAAAAAGAATACAGTGTTTGTTTGTCAGTACAACTCTTGACACTATGCAAAAGTGCGGCAGTTATCAGTCACTTTACAGATGAAACAAGACATTACAAGTGAGTGACTGACGTGTGTTATGGTTGCACAACAACCATGAGGCTATCACAATTAATCATTGTTTTGGTCAATAAAGATCCTATAAAAAATTGAATCCTTTTAAACACTTACTAATGTATTTACAATATTGTTTACCTGAGTACAGCTTGTTTGTCCCTTTGCAGAACTGAAATAACCAGCCGGACATTGTTCTGGGGGTTGTGTAGGGTCTGGACATTGGTATCCTGTTTTCACGATATAATGAAACATTAAAATAAAGAAACACTTGCAGAAGTATACCTGGCATTTTAGCATTAACATTCACAGTTAAAATTGAATGTTGTCTTCAATGAGTTACATCACGGTCTGCGCATCTTGAAATGTTAAGCCTACATTGTTCAAGGTCATCGCTTGTAACCCGTGTTAATCTTCTCCATGCTTAACCATTCTTGGTCCTTTATAGTTTATCATTATCTCTTTGGTGTTTTGCTATCTTGGTAAACATTTATCTTCAAGTCTCCTTCAATTAAAGGTAACTTTGAACATGGCCAAAATTACTAAAAATAATGTGACTGTGCTCCTTTTATTGCCAATGACACTTCATTCAATGAACATCCTTGCAAGTTACCAACCAAAGCAAATGCTGCTGCTTTTGCGGCCAACAAACCCAAAACAAAAACTTACAATGTTTTTTTTTTGTTTTCATGTCCCTAACATTACCTCAGTTTCTAGTGTCATGTTCAAAGCAGGGAATTATTACACACCTGCCAAAAGCATTATTAACCATTATAAAATCAGGACAAATGAAACACAACAGTACAATAAACAGCTTACCTCTATCACATTCAGTACAACTGACAGATTTAGTTTCGTTTGCATAAAACCCAGAAGCACATGGCTGTGGACTAGCAGTGATAAGCAGTGGACAGTAAAACCCAACAGGACAATCATCACAAGACGTGCTTCCTTCAGATGCATAAAATCCTCTGCCACACAACACGGGCGCATCACTCTTCACAGTGCACCTAGAGAGGACATTATGTCAACCACATTAATTAATAAAGTCAACTTCTCTGGCATACTGCTAACATCAGTCAGGTTGTCGTACATGAACCATGAACCCATAAAAGGTGATGGAACCACCTCATTCATATGTCTCACGTCTGGTGTCACTACTGAAATTTGTAATGTTGATCTGAAACCAATTTTGATTTTGTTTCAAACTATTTTTAGCATGACGACTTCAACATGCACAAAGTGCAGTGGATTCATTAAGGGCCAGGCACCGGGCAAATTGACCGCCTGTGAGCACAACTTTGCCCGGCTGTTCAACTCTGGGCTTTCAATGTGGCTTTTGTGAATAAAACTTGAATGCAAGTTGCTTTTCTTTGATTTCTGCATGTGCCTTCCCAAAAATAAAACTGAAATTCATTTAAAAAAAAGAAAATCTCCTTGTCTTATTCCTTCCTTGACACTGCTCATATATCGCCCCATGATTCACTGCAAAAGGAAAATTGATTAACGGTCTACATGAAAACCCATCTTGAAATCTCCCAGAATTGCGATGGCTACCGGCAAAAGAACGATCGCGCAATATTTTCCTGTTTGACTTCTGCCTGAGAAAAAGTCAAGAGGTAAGTAGTGATTTAACCATTTCTTTTCGGAATGTTGAATGGCTAACTTCATGCTCAGTGAAGGGTGAAATCTTTTCAACACCCAGTTAATAATGGTAATAGGACTGAGTGGAGTCCAATTCGGTCTGTAATCACTATTACAATTTCCCACAAAAGCAAAAATTCATTTGAAAAAGAGCGTTTAATAGTCATTTTTAAATACCATAATTAAAAATATGGAGAATAGCTTGCAAAACGGCTGTTAAGTTTCTTTCAAACCAGTCAGCAGAGACTTAACCTCCACAATTTTACAAAGTCAGTCTCTTGAATTGGTTACGACAGTGATTGTAATAAATGTTGTGATTGGTGGATTTAGTGGAGAGGACTTAAAATGATTGGCTCATTTAACTGTCCAATTACACTGTCCGATTACAGCTTTGCAGATTAATTAGAGCAAAATACAGCAGTTTATGTACCAATCACATTTGAGGAAATTGTAATTGTTATGATTAAGTTTATTATCGTAGTGTCAAGATTTTAAAATATGATTAAGCAATGTTTAACACATGCAAATATCGAACTCTCTTGTTCAAAGCGATTTCATGTATAGAGTCAAAACATTTCAAAATACTTTGTATTGACAAAATTTCTAGATTTTTTCGTTCAAAAAAAGAAGGCAACGAATGATTGTTATTCATGTTCAGTGAAGAGTGAAATATTTTCAAAGACCCGATTAATTATAAGCTTATTATCGTAGTACAGGTGATTTGTAAACAACGTTTAACATGTGTAAAATCGAACTCTCTTGTTCAAGGCGAATTTATGGCAAAGGTTGGAATCATTTCAAATTATTTTATATAAATAAACCTTTTCAATTTTATACAAAATTCGAAGAAAGGATTGAACAATCGGTTCAACTTTTTAACTGGTTGCCTAGCACGTGACCAATTTCTTCCCCGTTGCATGAGTTTCAAGTTTCAGTTTTATGTAAACAAACCAGTTCGCACGGAGATATAAGCTTGAATATTACTCACAGACACAGACATGCTGCTGCTTGTGTGGTGAATTGCTAATTTATTGTTCGAAAAGTCAAGTTTTAGATATACTACGAGCAAACCGTATTTTTCTTTTAGTTCGTCGAGAATGGAGTGAAAAAAAAAAGACACGCGAAAGCTGGAGGCGAGGCAAGGCGAAATTTTTTTCATTCCACGACTACAAGAAAATTACATAGGGACTGCCCATAGTCTAAGTTTTAGACTGTTAAGATTCACTCCCAAAATTTATTCTCTCCGTGCGACGGATAAAAAAACGACTTGCTATAGTAGCCGGTGACCGTTTCATGTGTTTTTTGACTTAATGCAGTGCAAAATTTTACTCATGGAAATTTTTCGTTTATGATTACTTTTAAAATAATGGACTTGAACATATCATGAGATTGTATTTTTTAAAATTTGCCATGGGAGCATGTCCGGACCCATAGGAGGGGAAGGGCCATCAGCCCTTCCCATTTATGTGCCCGGCTGCTAAATTTGTATGCCCTCCTGTCAGAAATCTTAATGAATCCCCTGAAAGTGTGTAATTCTGTGAACCCCACTTGAGTGGGGTTCGGGCATATGTATGAGCATTGTTACCTAGTAACATGTGACGTGTTTTACAATACATTCCACTGGAAGTTTTAGATGCAAGCTGTGTAGTAAAACCTGTTTGGATGGAATTGGAGAAACAGTGCAAGCACATTAAACTCCTTCTTCATTTATTCTTTCAGCTTTGAAGCCCAGTGTTTGTGGAAGTGCCATTACTTTTTTGGTCAACCATGTGTTTAGATTGTGTGATCAAAACAGGTTTGCAATTGATAAAGCCAGACAACTTGTTTTGATGAATCTGCATTCTGTCGCTAGGATACTAAGTGGTGTCCAGTGTTCCTCGGTAATTCTAGTGCCTCGCTGCGCATGTGTTGATTACAACCTGCAATCTTAATGAATTACACACTTTGTCCATGTTGAAGTCGTAATGGACTATGAAAAAATTGAAAAATCTGAAATGTTTTGGGGAACTATCCTTGTTCAATCTGCTATAGTATAGCCCTTTTCTTGCATATGAAATATTCCTTTACATCAAGTTAAATGATACATCTAGACTTCAACATACATATTGTAAAATAAAGTAAGTGATGACCCTTCTGAGTGACCAAAACACTGCATGGACGAACGGTTGGACAATCAGCTGCAGTATGAGTGTGTAACATACAGCCAATATGTACCAATGTACGAAATGAACCAGCTTGATGGACTGTTGGATAACCAGGTGATATCTGTAATTTGACTGCATAACTGCGCAACTGGCAACTAATATTCAGCAGTGTATGGATTATTAGTTGGACAATCCACTTATATCACATGGGTATGTATCATCTGGCCAATATATACAAATGAACGAAATGTACCACATGGACAGATGGCTGGATAAATTGGGGTGATATCTGTGGCATCCAGCCATCATGTATGGATGGCTTGTTTTGTGACCCAGGTGATATCGGTAGCCCATCTTTGAAACACCAGCCAATAATATCAATGAATGGAAACATGAATGAATGAATTGATGAGTGATCAGTTGATATCTGTGGCCAACATGTGCTAATACCCAAAACCTCACCTATGACCTTCTGGACACAAAACACAATATCGAGCACCAGTTGAGTTGCTATATGTTCCATTAGGGCATTTTTCAGGTGTCTCCAATCCAACACTTGGACACCTAAAGCCTGCATCACATATTTTACAATCACTCAGTCCTTCTATATCTGAATAAGTTCCATTAGCACAGAGATGGTATGTTGGTTGTCCTTTTGTTGGGCAGAAAGCTCCTTTTGGACAAGGCTGACATTTGATACTCCCAGTGGCTGCATAAGAGCCAGCTAAGCATTCTACAAGTTGTGTTTTGTTTGGACAACTGAAATCACAAGGGAGAAAATTACAAAATTGTGTGGATCCAACATGTTACTATCAGTAAATGAACGAATGTCGCATGGATATAACAATTCATGGATGAACGGTTGGGCAATCAGGATGTTTCTGGAACAGAAGAGTAAAGCATACAGCCAATATGCATGAATGAATGACATGGTCCACACATGGACTGTTGAATAATCAGGTGATATCTGCAGCATAATCATGTACCATACTGTGAATATCTACATGAATAAATGAACAAATGAAATGGGCCACATGGAAAGACTGTTGAATAACCAGGTGATGTCTGTAGTCCGTCTGTTTACCTGCCAGCTAATGTGCCTGAGTAAATGTCAGATGAATGGATCAATTTATGGGTGAATGGTTGGACAATCAGTTTATACAAGCAGTAACATCCAACCAATATATAGCAATGAATGAAATGTACCACATAGACAGATAAATGGAAAATCAGGATGATATCTGTGGCCTGGTTTTCTCGTGGCCAGCCAGATTGTATGACCAAATCAAACAACATGTATGGATGGCTTGGTTTGATAACCAGGTGACATCTGAAGTCTGTCTGTGAAACATCAGCCACTTATATCAATGCATGGATGAATTGATGAATAATCAGTTGATATCTGTGGCCAGTATGTGCTAATATCCAAAACCTCACCTATGACCTTCTGGACACAAAACACAATTTAGAGCTCTGGTTGAGTCACTATATGTTCCATTAGGGCATTCTTCAGGTGCCTCCATTCCAACACTTGGACACCTGAAGCCTGCATCACATATTTTACAATCACTCAGGCCTTCTATATCTGAATAAGTTCCATTAGCACAGAGATGGTATGTTGGTTGTCCTTTCGTTGGGCAGAAAGCTCCTTTTGGACAAGGCTGACATTTGATGCTCCCAGTGGCTGCATACGAGCCAGCTAAGCATTCTACAAGTTGTGTTTTGTTTGGACAACTGAAATCACAAGGCAGAAAATTATAAAACTGTGTGGATCCAAGGTTACTATCAGTAAATGAACAAATGTCTCATGGATATAACAATTTGTGGATGAATAGTTGGACAATCAGGATGTTTCTGGAACAGGAGTGTAAAACGTACAGCCAATATGCATGAATGAATGAAATGGTCCACACATGGAATGTTGAATAATCAGGTGATATCTGCAGCATAAGTATGTAACATACTGTGCATGTGTACATGAATAAATGAACAAATGCAATGGACCACATGGAAAGACTGTTGAACAACCAGGTGATGTCCATAGTCTGTCTGTGTAACTGCCAGCTTATATGCATGAGTAAAGGTCTTATGAATGGAACAATGCATGGGTGAACAGTTGGACAGTAAATTTATATCAGCGGCATGAGTGTGTAATATCCAGCTGACATAGCAACGAATAGGATGTGACACAAAAAACAGATGACTGAATAATCAGGATGATATCTGTGGCCTGGTTAATTGTGGTAGCCAGCCAGAATGTATGACCAAATCAAACAACACTTAAGGATGGCTTGGTTTGATAACCAGGTGATATCTGTAGCCTGTCTGTGAGACACCAGCCAATTATATCAGTGAATGCATCATGAATGGATGAATTGATGAATGATCAGTCGATATCTGTGGCCAACTTGCGCTAATACCCAAAACCTCACCTATGACCTTCTGGACACAAAACACAATATCGAGCACCAGTTGATTCGCTATATGTTCCATTAGGGCATTCTTCAGGTGCCTCCATTCCAACACTTGGACACCTGAAGCCTGCATTGCATATTTTACAATCACTCAGGCCTTCTATATCTGAATATGTTCCATTAGCACAGAGATGATATGTTGGAAGTCCTTTCGTTGGGCAGAAAGCTCCTTTTGGACAAGGCTGACATTTTGCACTCCCAGTGGCTGCATACATGCCAGCTGAGCATTCTACAGGTTGTGTTTTGTTTGGACAACTGAAATCACAAGGCAGGAAATTATGAAACTGTATAGATTGAATGCTAATACAGTAATTAACTAAAAGTTATCTTCTTGGACCATTTGAAACATATTCATGAATAAATGTCTCACAAATAGAACAATTTGTGGATAAACAGTTGGACAATCAGGATGTATCTGGAACAAGAGTGTGCAGCACACAGCTAATATGCACAAATGAAATGGACCACGCATGGACTGTTGAACAACCAGGAGATATCTGCAGAATAAGTGTGTAAAATACTGCAAATATCTACATGAACAAATGGATGAAATGGACCGCATGGATAGACTGTTGGATAACCAGGTGATATCTGTAGTCTGTCTGTGTAACTGCCAGCTAATATGCATGATAAAGGTCTCATGAATGGAACAATTCATGGGTGAGCAGTGGGACAATCAGTTTATATCTGCGATATGAGTGTGTAACATCCAGCTGATATGTAGCAATACCTGAAATGTAACACACAGACAAACGGCGGGGTAACCAAGATATGTGGCCTGTCTTTGTGGTAACCAGCTAGTACGTATGAATAAATGAAACAACACGTATGAATGGCTTGTTTTGATAACCAGGTGATATATGAAGTGTCTGTGTAACACACAGTGGGTTATAATGGAATCATGAATGGATTAACTGTTGGATTATCTGTTGATGTCTGTGGTCAATATTTACTAATACCCAGATAAGATTGATAATTAGGTGGTAACCTCACCTATGACCCTCTGGACAGAAAACACAATATCTAGCACCAGCTGAATAGCTATATGTTCCATTAGGGCATTCTTCAGGTGCCTCCATTCCAACACTTGGACACCTGAAGCCTGCATCACATATTTTACAATCACTCAGGCCTTCTATATCTGAATAAGTTCCATTAGCACAGAGATGGTATGTTGATTGTCCTTTCGTTGGGCAGAAAGCTCCTTTTGGACAAAACTGACATTCAGTGCTCCCTGCTGCAGCATACGAGCCAGCTGAGCATTCTACAAGTCGTGTTTTGTTTGGGCAGCTGAAAGTGCAAGGTAGGAAATTATAAAACTGTGTGGATCCAAATGTTACTTTACGCAAATCTACTTGGACCACTTGAAATTTAAATAAATGTTCCATGAATAGAACAATTTCTGGATGAATGGTTGGATAATTAGGGTATATCTGGAACAGGAATGTGTAGCATACAGCCAATGTGCACTTATGAATAAAATGTACCACACATGGACTGTTGAATAGCCAGTTGATATCGACAGCATAAACGTGTAACATACTGCGAATATCTACATGAAGAAATGTTGAATAAATGTTGAAATGTTGAAGACTGTTGAATAACCAGGTAATGTCTGTAGTCTGTCTGTGTAACTGCCAGGTAATATGCATAAGTAAAGGTCTCATGAATGGAACAATTCATGCAGGCCTGCAAATAACAGTCGGTCATTGGACAATTGTCCCGTAAATTTGAGGTGTGACAGGTAAAAGCTTAGCCTGGGCGGACACTCTGACTGGGCATTTCTGCTACAATGAAAAAAGTTGTACCTGGAAATTTGTGGCCAAATATGGAACAAGTTATTTTATTAACTGCCACACAATACTACGCAGAAAAGCTTTGTTATCAGTTTCGTTTTTATTTCATTTCTGAGAAATAGTTTTATCATGCGCAATGCATCGTCTCAAATGTCACGTCGAATTGTAAAACACGCCTCATCAGTGCCACTATTCTGGCTATGTGTTAATTTATGCTTGCAGTGGCGTCGCAAGAGATTGTGAAGCCCCATTTAGTCTGAATTATGTTCTTCTGAAATACTACTGAAAAATGAGGTCTTATTTTGTTGTTTGTTATCTGCAAGTGTTGTGGAATTAATTTTTAGTCGTATTTGGCCCGAGTAAAATATTATGCAAATTGAATACACGGCCCAAATTCTCAGGTTCTGTTTATCGACTCTAACTGAATGCATTTTCTATTAAAACTTTAAAACTGCTAAAACATAACCAAATGTTTTTTTAGTCAGTGTGATCAAAAATCGGCTTTATAGCTCTTCATAGTTTTTTTTTTACTTCCCTGGTTCGAATACAGTTTCCGTACCAGACATGTTTTGTAAAAAGTATGAATGTACAAATTAGTCACGCTTTGTAGTCACAACCACTTCAGATTCCAATTTCATCTATTATTCAATTGACCCCAAAGAAAATTTCCAGGAGAAACAGCTTGCTTTCAGAAAAAGTCAAAGAATTCATTTCAGCCAATATCAAGTCTTTGAATGTTATTGTGTGTTTTTATACTGACAAGCTATCCACACGGGCGATCGTTTCATCGCTTTTCACGGGAAAATACGGAATACACGTGTGATCAATGAGTGAAGGTAAACTAGGGATTCAAACGTTTGTAAATTTGTCAATTTTCAACAGGTAAAATAAAACCTGACTTAATGTAAAGGTTTCCTTTCTGGTGCTAGCATTGATTTTACAATCAGTTGACTTTACTTTTGAGCCATTCGAATTTGCAACCAACATTTTGGCAAAGGGAGTACAACGAAATACCAAAATGTCTCAAATGTATCTTATTTTTAATTTCTAATAACAAGAAAAAAATATTGTCCGACCAGACTGGCTTTTTGTCAGGTCAAAAGTTGTCCTTGGCCTGACAAATGACCTGCTTATAGCCAAAATTATTTGCAGGCTTGTTCATGGGTGAACGGTTGGACAATAACTTTATATCCATGGCATGAGTGTAATATCCAGCCGACAGCAATGAATGAGATGTAACACAAAGACAGACAGCTGGTTAATCCAGATTATATGTGTGGCCTGTCTTTGTGACAGTCAGCTAGAACATATAAGTAAATCAAACAAAATGTATTGATGGCTTGTTTTGATAACCAGGTGATATATGTAAAGTGCTTGTGAAACAGCCAGCTGGTTATATCAATTAATGAAATTGTGCCTGGATGAACTACTGGATAGTCAGTTGATATCTGTGCCCAATATGTACTGTGTGTTGAATACCCAAAACAGGTTGATAATCAGGCGGTAACCTCACCTATGACCTTCTGGACACAAAACACAATATCTAGCACCAGCTGAGTGGCTATATGTTCCATTAGGACATTCTTCAGGTGCCTCCATTCCAACACTTGGACACCTGAAGCCTGCTTCACATATTTTACAATCACTCAGGCCTTCTATATCTGAATAAGTCCCATTAGCACACAGATGGTATGTTGGAAGTCCTTTCATTGGGCAGAAAGCTCCTTTTGGACAAGGCTGACATTTGATACTCCCAGTGGCTGCATATGAGCCAGCTGAGCATTCTACGGGTTGAGTTTTGTTTGGACAACTGAAATCACAAGGCAGGAAATTATAATGCTGCATGGATCCAGTGTTACTACATACACATATACTTAAACACCTGAATCAAATTGATGACTGAATAAGTCATGAATACAACAATTCATGGATGAAAGCTTGGACACTAAGGGTATATCTGGAACAAGAGTGTGAAGTATACAGCCAATATCCACAAATAAATTAAATGGATGACACATGGACCGTTCAGTAACCAGGTGATATCTACAGTAAATTAAAGTAAAATACTGCAAATATCTATATGAATGAATGACTGAAATGGACCACATAGATAGACTGTTGAATAGCCAGGTGGTGTCTGTAGTCCATCTGTAACTGCCAGCTTATATCCATGAGTAAATGTCTGATGAATGGAACAATGCACGGGTGAATGGTTAGACAATCGGTTTATATCCGTGGCATGAGAGTGCAATGTACAACCAATGTATACCAATGAATGAAATGAACCACATAGACAGATGGCTGGATAACCAGGATGATATCTGTGGCCTGGTTTTGTGGCAGTCAGTCAGAATGTATCAGTAAATAAAACAACACGTATGGATGGCTTGGTTTGTTAACCAGATGATATCTGTAGCTGATTATATCAATAAATGGAGTCATGAATGGATGAATTGATGAATGATCAGTTGATATCTGTGGCCAATATGTGCTGATACCCAAAACCTCACCTATGACCTTCTGGACACAAAACACAATTTTGAGCCCCTGTTGATTCGCTATATGTTCCATTAGGGCATTCTTCAGGTGCCTCCATTCCAACACTTGGACACCTGAAGCCTGCATCACATGTTTTACAATCACTCAGGCCTTCTATATCTGAATAAGTTCCATTAGCACATAGATGGTATGTTGATTGTCCTTTTGTTGGGCAGAAAGCTCCTTTTGGACAAGGCTGACATTTGATGCTCCCAGTGGCTGCATAAGAGCCAGCTAAGCATTCTACAAGTTGTGTTTTGTTTGGACAACTGAAATCACAATGGAGAAAATTATAAAACTGTGTGGATCCAATGTTACTATCAGTAAATGAATGAATGTCTCGTGGATATAACAATTTGTGGATGAATAGTTGGACAATCAGGATGTTTCTGGAACAGGAGTGTAAAGCATACAGCCAATATGCATGAATGAATGACATGGTCCAAACATGGACTGTTAAATAATCAGATAATATCTGCAGCATAATCATGTAACATACTGTGAATATCTACATGAATAAATGAACAAATGAAATGGGCCGCATGGATAGACTGTTCAATAACCAAATGATGTCTGTAGTCCATCTGTTTACCTGCCAGCTAATACTCATGAGAAAATGTATGATGAATAGAACAATGCATAGGTGAACAGTAGGACAATCTGTTTATATGTGCAGCATGAGAGTGCAATGTACAGCCAGTGTATCCCAATGAATGAAATGTACCACATACACAGATGGCTGGATAATTGGGATGATATCTGTGGCATGGCTTTGTGCCAGGCAGTCAGTATGACCAAATCTCACAACACGTATAGATGGCTTGGTTTGATAACCAGGTGACATTTGTAGCCTGTCTGTGAAACATCAGCCAATTATATCAATGAATGGAATCATGCATGGATGAATTGATGAATGATCAGTCGATATCTGTGGGCAATACATGTATGTACTAATACCCAAAACCTCACCTATGACCTTCTGGACACAAAACACAATATCGAGCACCAGTTGAGTCGCTATATGTTCCATTAGGGCATTCTTCAGGTGCCTCCATTCCAACACTTGGACACCTAAAGCCTGCATCACATGTTTTACAATTGCTCAGGCCTTCTATATCTGAATAAGTTCCATTGGCACAGAGATGGTATGTTGATAGTCCTTTTGTTGGACAGAATGCTCCTTTTGGACAAGGCTGACATTTGATACTCCCAGTGGTTGCATATGAGCCAGCTGAGCATTCTACAGGCTGTGTTTTGTTCATGCAGCTGAAATCACAAGGCAGGAAATTATAAATTTGTATGGATCGAATGTTACTATAAGTCACGTTGTAGGACCACTTGAAACTTATTCATGAATGAATGTCACATGAATAGGACAATTTGCAGATGAATGGTTGGACAATCAGGATGCATCTGGAACAAGAGTGTATAACATACAGCCAATATGCACCAATAAGGGAAACGGACTACATGTAACAAGGTGATATCCGCAGCATATTCATGTAGCATCCTGCCACAACCAATGAATGAATGAAAATTACCACATGGATGGACTGTTGGATAACCAGGTGATGTCTGTAGTCTGTCTGTGTAACAGCCAGTTAATACTCATGAATGTCTGATGAATGGAAGAAAGTATGGATGAACACTTTGTAACATGCAGCCAATACAAATGAATGATTCAATGAATGAATGAAAAGTAACACATGGAGGGACTGTTGGATAACCAGGTGATGTCTGCAGTCTGTCTGTGTAACTGCCAGCCAATATTCATAGGAAGATGAATGAAACGACTCATGAATGAGCAGTTGGAAAATTGTGAAGGTTATATCTGCAGCACAGGTGTGTAACATCCACTCAGTATATATGATTGAATGAAATGTACAACAAAAGATGGATGGCTGGATAATCAGGGTGATATCCGTGATCTGTCTTTGTGGCAGCCAGCCAATACGTATGAATAAATGAAACAACACATATGGATGGCTTGTCTGAAACCCAGGTGACATACGAATGAATAATGTAAATGAATGAAACCCTGCATGGATGATCAAGTGATATCTGTAGCCAATGTGTACTAATATCCGAAATGGGTTGGTAATTAAGTTGTAACCTCACCTATGACCTTCTGGACACAAAACACAATATCTAGCACCAGTTGAGTTGCTATATGTTCCATTAGGGCATTCTTCAGGTGCCTCCATTCCAACACTTTGACACCTGAAGCCTGCATCACATGTTTTACAATTGCTCAGGCCTTCTATATCTGAATAAGTTCCATTGGCACAGAGATGGTATGTTGATAGTCCTTTTGTTGGACAGAATGCTCCTTTTGGACAAGGCTGACATTCAGTGCTCCCTACCACAGCATATGAGCCAGCTGAGCATTCCACGGGATGTGTCTTGTTTAGACAGCTGAAATTGCCAGGCATGAATATTTAAAAAAGAAGCAAACAAAAGAGACACAAGACAATAGCAATCTCCATCTTTGAGCATTATGGTGCTTCATCAGTGCAGTTGCAGACTCGTCTACCATTTCAAAAGGTCAGACTAATGGCCTGCATGCTGTAGTGCTGTTACAGTTGTACAGTGTTTTTATTGTGTTAATGATTATTGTTTATACAGTGGTAACTTCTACAACAATTACCCTGAAGTACAAGTATAACCAATAGCAAGATGGTACATTGAATAAATTCAAATTTTGATATCAATTATATTACAATCATCTAACTCTTTCACTTGTTTGAATTGTTTAAATATACATATTTGGAACAAGCATTAACATAACCCCTTATTTTATATTAACCAGCCATTCCTCAAATTACGTGGTACACTGAATCAAGGTACATTAAATTGTGGGAAATTGTTGATTTATAGTCCAAGGGAAAAACCCTCACCTATGACCTTCTGGACACAAAACACAATATCTAGCACCAATTGTGTTGCTATATGTTCCATTAGGGCATTCTTCAGGTGCCTCCATTCCAACACTTGGACACCTGAAGCCTGCATCACACAGTTTACAATCTTTCAGGCTCTCCTCATCTGAATAAGTTCCATTGGTACAGAGATGGTATGTTGGTAGTCCTTTTGTTGGGCAGAAAGCTCCTTTTGGACAAGGCTGACATTCAGTGCTCCCTGCTGCAGCATATGAGCCAGCTAAGCATTCCACAGGATGTGTCTTGTTTAGACAGCTGAAATTGCCAGGCACGAGTTAAAGACAAAAACATACAATCTGTACGGCTGTTTGGACATAAAAGGTGCCTGATAGTGCAGTGGCACATACAATAGTGCAAAATGTACAGAATCACCAGGAAGATGCATGACATGATGGCTGAAGTGTGATTACAGTGGTGCTTGATCAGTGCAGTTGCAGATTTATTAGTGTTAATGTAGGATCCTCAAAACTGACTTCTGATGGTGTGAAGATTGTAGTGCAGTCAAAGAGTGAACAATTTTTCCACATTCTGTGCCAGTGTGTTCATTCTGTTACTGTTAATTGTTAGCCAATACTACACTTCTAGAAACATTACACTGTACATGTAGTGTCAATATGCCAATTTCAAAATATTAAAATTCTAACTTGGCTCTGAGGCCCAAGGAAATAAAACAAAAGAAATTGCATCAAGGATGAGGGATGAATAATTACATTCTTTTAGTTTATTCCTCTAAGCCTCGGAGCCAAGTTAGAATTTTAATACATCAAAATTAGCGTATGAGTGAGTCATATTAAGTGTTACAAGTAAATTTAACTATTGATAACATAATTAGTTTGTCTAACTGTTAAACTAGCTGGTGTGTTGAATGGAAATATATATATAAGGAACATAACTATTTTAAATTACTTTTGTAATATCAAACAACAGCTGATTTTGGGTCAGCCAGTCATATGGTGCACTGAATGAACAGGAACTGGACATTTTTATAAACTGGGCATAGAACCCTCACCTATGACCTTCTGGACACAAGACACAATATCTAGAACCAATTGTGCTGCTATATGTCCCATTAGGGCATTCTTCAGGGGCCTCCATTCCAACACTTGGACACCTGAAGCCTGCATCACACAGTTTACAATCATGCAGCCTTTCCTCATCTGAATAAGTTCCATTAGCACAGAGATGGTACATTGGAAGTCCTTTGATTGGGCAGAAAGCTCCTTTTGGACAAGGCTGACATTCAGTGCTCCCTGCTGTGGCATATGAGCCAGCTAAGCATTCCACAGGGTGTGTCAGATTGTTTAGACAGCTAAAATTGTCAGGCAGGAATTAAAGACAAAAAAAATACAAATTATCTGAACATCTCTGTTTGGACATACAAGGTGACTGATAGTGCAGTGGCACATACAATAGTGTGCAGTGTATAGAATCAGTGAGACAATGGATGACATGAAGGCTGTCGTGCAGTTGCAGGTGTAATGTAGTTAGTGATCAGTACAGTTGCCAATTCATCACTGATACTGCAGGATTTGCTAGTCAACTGCTCAACATTGAAAGAGCCAGACTGATGGCATGAAGGTTGAAGTGCAGTGAAAGGTGATCAAACGTACATTCTACATTCTGTCCCAGTGTATTGAATGTGTTATTGCTTTCTATGTGGTGCTTGATCAGTGCAGTTGCAGAGTCATCTAACAGTGTTAATGGAAGATCCTCAACTGACCAACATTGAAAGTGCCAGACGGATGGTGTGAAGGTTGAAGTGCAGTGAAAGGTGATCAAACGTACGTTCTACATTCTGTCCCAGTGTGTTGATTGAGTTATTGCTTTCTATGTGGTGCTTGATCAGTGCAGTTGCAGATTCATCTAATAGTGTTAATGGACGATCCTCAACTGACCAAGAATGAATGTGCCAGATGGATGGAGTGAAGGTTGAAGTGCAGTGAAAGGTGATCAAATGTATGTTCTATATTCAGTGCAAAGTATTCACTGAGTTATTGCTTTCTATGTGGTGCTTGATCAGTGCAGTTGCAGAGCCATCTAATAGTGTTAATGGACGATCCTCGACTGACCAACAATGAAAGTGCCAGACGGATGCAGTGAAAGGTGATCAAACGTATGTTCTATATTCTGTGCGAATGTATTCACTGAGTTACTGCTTTCTTTGTGGTGCTTGATCAGTGCAGTCGCAGATTCATCTAATAGTGCTAATGGATGATACTCAACTGACCAACATTGAAAGAGCCAGACGGATGGCATGAAGGATGGAGTGCGGTGAAAGGTCAACAATTGTACATTCTACATTCTGTCTGAGTGTATTCATTGAGTAATAATATTGCTTTCCATGTGGTGCTTGTTCAGTGCAGTTGCAATTCATCTAACAGTGTTAATGGCCTATCCTCAACTGACCAACATTGAAAGAGCCAGACGGATGGAGTGAAAGTTGTAAAGCAGTGACAGGTTTACAAACAATCTTCACTCTGTGCCAGTGCATTAATTCAGTTACTGTTTATTATTAATACAGCACCACTTCATGATTTCCAAAAGTACACTGTTCATGTAGTAGCAATTATATGAATGCACAATAATATATGCATAATATAATTATAAAAATTACAATATGTATACAGGTAAAGTATGTATGTAGATGTATAAGAAATGTTAGTAGCTATCCTTTTAAGCATTAGTACAACATCTGATTTTGTATCAGCCAGCCATTACAGGTATGTTGAGTGAAGAGGAACTGGAAATGTTGATAAACCTCACCTATGACCTTCTGGACACAGAACACAATATCGAGCGCCAGTTGTGTTGCTATATCTGCCATTAGGGCATTCTTCTGGTGCTTCCATCCCAACGCTTGGACACCTGAAGCCTGCATCACACAGTTTACAATCATTCAGGCCTTCTATATCTGAATAAGTTCCATTAGCACAGAGATGGTACATAGTTAGTCCTTTCGTTGGGCAGAAAGTTCCTTTTGGACATGGCTGACATTCAAGGCTTCCTTCTGCAGCAAATGAACCATCCAAGCATTCCACAGGTGTTGTTTTATTTGGACAACTGAAATTGCCAGGTAGGATGATCAGAACAAACACAATTCAATTTCAATCTCCCTGTCTTCGACATACTTGGTGCTTGATCAGTGCAGGTATGGTGCAGATTTGTTTAATAGTGCTTAGTGCAGGTCCACAAAGCCAGTGTTTCACAGTGAAGGCCACACATTGAGCGCAGTTACAAACTCTCTGTCTTGTGTTAGATTGTTGCTATTAGTGCAGTTTAACTTACAAATGTTTATTTAGGTGCATTCTGTCAGTAATTACATGTATTTGAGATTGTGCATCTTTAAAATTATCATAAGATGTTACATGTATAATTATATCGCAACACAAGTTTACCTGTTTGTTATACATGCTGCTTAAAATGCTACATACAAGGTGTTTATAAAGTGCGTTTATTGGTGTAGTTTAACTTACAAATTAAATGCATTACGTAGATTTTGTCAGTAATTATTTGAGATTGTACATCTTTAAAACTATCTTAAGATGTAGCACATATATATCACCACACAAGGTTACATGTACCTATTATACATGCTGCCTAAAGTGAAAGTACAAGGTGTTTACAAAGTGCGAGGTGGATCTTTTGCTAGAGACCATGATTTTAACAGCTCTGAAAAAGAACCAACATGACATCCCTCCAGAACTCTTACCTGTACCCTGCTGGGCAAATGGTACACTGTGAAGATCCAAGGTAGCTAAATGTCCCATTTTCACAGGACACTGGAGAAGTAGCAGGATTAGGACACTTAAATCCTGCAGGACACTGAAGACATTCATCATGTCCCTCTGAATCTGTGTATGTTCCATTACGACAAGGGATGTGAGTAGAAAGCTCAGCTGAGGGGCAGTGTGATCCAGCTGGACACAGACGGCAATCCAGACTTCCTCCTGGTCCATATGTTTTACTTAGACATGGCAGAGGGTCTGAATCTTTGTAAGGACACCTATGATAGAGAAAGCGCATTCAAAGGAGAGTTTTGCTTCCTCCTCATCTCAGTTGTTTCCACCTGTAAGCAGTAACCCTATTCACAGAGAAGCTGGTTGCATGTGAACAGATAATGAACAGTTTTCCTCAGTCACAGAACAGCTTTGATTCTCTGTTTAAAAAAAAACCTTCTGTCTTTCCTTACAAGAACTAAATAATTGTTTTCCTTCCTATTTGAAGGTCACATGCATGTACAAGTATATGTTCTACACCAGAAAAAAGAATTTGAGTAATTTTGGTGAGGAAATTAATTTAAAATTAATATGAAATTAATATGAAATTTATTAAAAACTGACACACATTCATTTGGCATAGAGCACTCTTGGGAAAAACCTTTTTTCATAAATTCCTATTTTGACAAGATTAAACCTCTAGTACTCGAAGAAAATTCCCAGACCCTACCAACTAGAGGCAGCCCTAGCCTGACTAGCTGCTATGGAAAGAATTACCTGAGCAGGACATAATCAGTACCTGAATCCTGGAGGGCACACCGTGCAATTGGCAACGTTCCCTTTACTGTATGTTCCATTTTCACAAAAGACAGGAGATTCTGCTGGGTTTTGACAAAAGTAACCAGCTGGACATTCCAAACACTGAGATAGTGATGTCACATTGGCATATGAGCCCGGAGAACAAGGCACATGTTTTTCGGAGCTGTTGGATGGACAGTGTGAGCCAATAGGACATTCTTGACATTCTATGCTTCCTGATGGTGCAAAGGATCCTTGTAAGCATGCAACTGGATCAGCTGATTTGTCTGTGCATCTAAGGAAGAAACACATTTTATCATGATTAATTCAAGACTAGTCCTTGCCTAAGTGTCATATACATGTATACAATATTCCACCCTGTATACAAAAGATTGTGGTTTTGGCCCTAAAAGAACTCAACTTGTCCTTAAAATTTCACAAACTCACGAAAACAGACATCTGTCTTTCACAGTTTCTCCACAGGACACCTACATGTAGTGAACAATTTTTTTTTCTATCAGCATGCTGGACACATGAGCCTGGCTAGTAAATGGCCAAGCACACCACATATTTCCAGTAGCTTAGCGATTAGAGCATCTCAGCAATATGCTAAACAGCTGTAGTCGGGACTTCCATACTTGTGATGAAAGAAATTGGATCCTTCCTGTACAAAATCTCAATGTAAACTTGAAGTATTATAGTCTCTTTTACCCAGAACAAATATATTCAAATGAAATCTTAAAAGTTGTTGTCACTGACTTAAAAAATCTTAAAAT